GAGATATGGCTGCTGTCCCCAGATTTGTCAGGTACGGTGGTCGGGCAAGAGGTCTTCCTGCGGTATGCCGAACTTCCCTTCCGTGAGTTACCCTATGCCGGGCTATCTCGTAAGCGGCGAACTGCCTGTGGCAAGCTAAACCGAGCTGTCTGACTCGAGTTGTCTTCACCTCGGGGTATTTATAGGCGAATCGGTGTGTTCCTATTTGGGAGTGGCCCGAGGTCCACTGGGAGGAGCTCGAGTATTAGAAAAGGTCAGGGGACCCCGAGCACAAGGGCAGCTCGGGGTGCCTTAGCCCCGGGGAGGCGGTGCAGGCCAGGGGCTTCCGACGAGTAGTCTATCCCGCCGAGTTGCCGGGCTGAACTCGGAGGGAGGGTCCCACCGAGTTGAGGCTGCGCCTGCTGTGCTGTCACGCTGAGTCATCATTTGAGCAAGGTCACGCCCATGTGTACCCGGGCTACAAGGTCGGGCCAAATCACCCTCCATCAATTATTATTATTATTATTATTAATTAGGTCCACATGGCAATTCACATGTGGATCCACGTGGGCTCTCAGTTGTCATGATGTGATGTTTTTTAATTGAAATGTATAGTATAAGATGTAAAAAGCATTGTATATATGTATGAGTGAAGTGAAGGGTAAAATTGTCATTTGTGTCAATATAAACACTTATGGGAAAAATAGCTTACTAAACATCAACATCCCCACTCTAATAAGTAGTTAAAAATATAATAAATGATTTGACAAATGGATCACCGAACAATCTTAATTGATTATTAAAATAATTACTTCTAACAAATACTTATAGAATAAATATTTTTTTAACAACCATTTAATCATCAAACTGGCATTAATTTCCTTACTCACTTACAAAGCCTTTATTTTTATTTTTATTTTTTTTTTGCTTTTTGACCAAATCCTAACGAACATAACTATATTTGGCGTTGGCCGTTAATTTCCTTTCATCTTGGCCTTCTTATTCTGGTCCCACCATGAGAAAGTGAAGAACCAATCCAACGGTCAAGGATGTCTCGCTCAACCCAAACAATCCACAAAGCCACAGCATAAAACCGTAGAAAGAAACACGGGCAACAGATCGAGAAGGAAAGGAATGTCTGAAACCGAAGAAGTAGAAACTCGCTCCGTTTCCGCTCTGAAAACCCTCGTCGACTCCTTCAAAATCCTCCAAACCAATCTCAGTCTCTTCATTTCCATTTTTGTCCTCACCACTCTCCCACTCTCTCTCCTTTCCTTCGCCCTCTCTCTCTATTCCCACCCTCTCCAACTCAAAATCTACAGCCTTGAAGCCCTTGCGCTGTTGTCACCTACCCGGACCGAAGCTCGGCATGTTTGGGAAGAATCCCGAGCCGACTTGCTCACTCTGCTCCGGTTTAAGGCTCTCTTTTTCCTTCCTTCTTATGTTATCTCCCTCTTGGCCACGATAACGTCCGTTAACTCGACGGCACTGGCGTTCTCCGGGAAACGGCCGAGTTGCCAAACGGCGATCGCAGCAGTCCAGGCGAGTTGGAAGAGACCGTTGGCTACGTCCATATATGCGTTTGCGATCTTGTTGGCTTACGAGTTCGTGCCGCTGACGTGCTCGGCGGTGGTGGGGGGTGGCGCACGTGCGAGGTGGCTGGTGGCGGTGATCGGGGCGGCGGTGGAGGTGTATTTGAGGGCGGTTTTGGGCCTGGCGTTGGTGGCTTCGGTGGGGGGGTTGAGGGTTGTGATGGACGGTCAGGATTGGGTGATGAAAATCGGCCTGGCTTGCTTGTTTGGGTTGCTTATCCTTTGGAGCTATGTCGTTAATACTGTGTTATATTGCGAATGCAGCAGAAGTAGGACTTGGCAGCTTGATAGAGTGGATAATGGCCTACCGTTTAAATTTGTTTCTTCACAAGTTTTGTGAGTAGAGAAGGTTCTTGTGATTTTCTTCTTTTGATCTTTCCGGTGGTGGGCCCACTTTAGTTACATTCTATGCCAAAGTGGTTCTGGATTTTGATTAGATTGTACTAATTGTAGTACAGAATAGTCTTTCAATTCCATTGTACTGGATTTCAATTTGATGGTGATAACTGATAAGCACCTCGTCACATTTGGATGATATCGGGTCAATATCTGGGTTTGTAGATAATACAGACATTTTTGAAGTGGGTCTGGGCTTGGATTGGCTAACCAACTGCCGGTCTGAATTGGTTGAATTTTGTGAACCCGTTAACCCGGGAATTTGGGGTTGGCGGGTCGGGTCGTTAGGTGCACACTCTAGAACCTAGATTCTCTGGCTGTAGAGAAAAGCTAAGGCTTTGCTTTTATTTCTTTTGCTTTACTAAGGGGGCTGTAAAGTGGGCTTGTATTGTTCTTTGCATGTGCTTCAAGCAATCCCACATGTTCTCTTCTCTTTTCAAATCCACCAGACAAAGGAGGAACAAATGTGACAAAGGGAATTGCTCTAGTGGTGTTGAGTCTCAACAAAGCTACATACTGACCCATGTCTTGGGTGCTAAGGTGCCAACTCATTTTTGCTTGTTTTCTCGTCATCCTCTTGACAATCAAACAAATTAAACAATATAGAGAAAAATTTACTCGTTGAGTTAAGGTTTTAACCAGTTGCACAAGCAAAATAAAGTGGCCTTCACTTTAAATGAAAGGGAATAGTGGTAGGAAGAGGGTTATCCGTCTAGGAGTTAAGGTTTATATGAGAAATAATTGAGACTGGGGAAGGTGGTTTGAGATACAAAATTTGCACTGCTAATGAATGCAAAATAGGCATAGCAAACTTTGTATCAGTTAGAATGCAAATTATAATTGATTACAAATGCAAAGCAAAACTGAAATGGGTGCAAAATTGCACTGGTCAACATTTGCAATGCAACCACAACAGCATTAGCATTACTTGAGCCCTCATCATGCTATTGACAAATCAAGCAAATAATATGAAGATCTATCAGAAAAAAAAATAAAAAAGAAAATACTATGAAGAAAAGTTTACTAATTGAGCTAATTAATTAGGGTTCTTCTGTACACCTTTGTTATTACATGTTACATGGAGGGGATGATATGGTTGATCCTATGTCCTAACTATGTAACAGATAGGGGGAAGCTTTGGAAGTTTGGATTGGTTCCTTGTTCATGTTGTATTTATTGCTTTAGAATATTAGAGTAATTTCAAATTGATATATTTTATTTTAAATATTTTTATCTTGTCTTAATTTTGACTTTTTCTTTCAAGTCCTCCGGGTTTTTTTTGCTCTTTTGTTGCACATCTCTTACTTTGTTTCCTTTTATTCTCTTTTGTTTGAAGGGTTGTTTGATAACAACTGAAGTTGATGAATTGAATGACTTAGTCTTTTGTTTTTCTTTTGGGTTCATCAATATGCTTTTTCTATTATGGCTGTGGATGCAAATACAAATATGTACTCTGCATATATAAATACCCTATTTTTGGTTCAAGAATGCAAAGTGGGTTGATAGTGTAATCCGTTTTTTGTATTCTTCCTATTTGTTTAAAATTATTGGTACAAAATGTTGGCCCCATCATTAAATGCCTTAAACTTTTGGTCAAGTGCATCGATTATTAGAAGAGTACCAAACTATATCCAAAAGAGGAAACACTTAACAACAAAAAACTGTCAAGAAACACATTTTTGACCTCTTAATAATTGCATTTTTACATATCAAACAAATGCTCACAAATCCGAACCGAGATACATAAATACCCTGATTCAACATTTGTATCGCAAACATACAAAGCCTATATAAAATTTTACTGACTAAAAGAAAAAATCAGTAAATCATCCAATTCAGCCACTTAAGCTATTGTCTAACAGACCCTTAATATCAATGCCTTTGTGGTCACGCATCAAGTCCAATAGTTTCTTAACAACTTTTCAGGTTAATGACAAGATGCTATATGTCTTATAGAAGAATATATTCATACACTTATTTTTATTACTTTTTCAATTCTTGCCTATATCATGACAAACGAAAATCTACCAATACCTAGTTATCATAGAAATTTGATCATTTCTACCCAAAAAAAGAAAAAGAAATTGATCATGACAAACTAATATTATCTTAAATTTAGTTAAGTTTTTTCTATAATTTTTCCTTTTACATCATATTTGTAGAAAATGCTTCAATTTTTTTTGATCATGATAAGGTAAAAAGGGGTAGTTTTTTTTTTTTTTGATATTTGGTGATATGCACCACTAATAACCCCATCCCCAAATTCAGTGGTTGTGGAAATCAAGTCCACATCTATGTTGGAGCGAACCAGTTAACATACCAACTGAGCCGCCCCTTAGGGAAGATTACAACTTGAAAAAGTGCATTGACCACTTTAATAAAACTTTTAGAAATTATTACTTTAAAATAGATAATAACTAATATGTATCAACATTTCGTTTTCTTAATATTATTTAGGGCACATCGCTATTTTATATATCATCATATTAAACACAAATATGATATTTTTTGTAAACTAAAACTTCATTTAAAGAGAAAAAAAGGAAGTATACACAATAGAAATGCCCAAATGGAGTATGTAAATCCCGATCCATACAATGACATATAAAAAAATAAATATGAAATATTTATTAATGATGAACATAGAATATAAAATTTAAAATCAAACAAAAATGAAACCATTTTCTATTTGGGTGGCAGATCAATGGTTCAACCATTTGAGTCAAATTGGTCAACCCATGGTACCATAATTAAAAAAATTAAAAATAAAGAAATGAAAAAATTATGAAAAGATACATAAAATAATAAAACAAATTTGGGCACATGTTTAGTATCATATATTTGGCATATTAAAAACTAAGTGTGATGAAGAATAATTGTTTTTAAAAATGACAGAAATGGAATACTAATTAGAAAAATTGATGTCTAATTCATGGTCCCACTAACTAGGTCAAACGGTTTAATTAGGTCACCATGCTGATAACCAAGTAAATGTCTTTTGCAAATGGTTTGGTTGTAAATTGACAAATCATTGTTAGGTGATGGATTAACCTCTTTGAGTACTTGACTTGGCCATGAGATAAAACCAATATTCTAAAAGCTCAATTGCAATTGCATTTGCCTCCTAGTTAAATAAGTTAACTTGTGATGTCATAAAACAAATAATGAAAATACAAAATATGAAAAATTATAAAGCTTATAAAAAATTGAACATGCCTTTTAATATTATATATATTCCTTATATCTATAATTGCAGAAAATATGCTACCAAAAGAATTTTAACCGATCATACCCCTAAGCAATTTTAATGAATTCTACTTGATTGGCATATGAAGGAACCTAGGAGTAGCTCTAAAAGGAGAAAAATGAGAGGAAGTAGATTGAGATGGTTTGGTCATGTGCATGCAAAACCATATATAGAATTTGTTTGAAAAAGTGATCAATTTAATGTTGAAGGTGATAGAAGAGTGAGGGTAAATCGAGGACCTAGGTGGAAGTAATAAAAAATATAAGTGCACATAATTTAATGATGGATATAGCATTGAATGGAATTGGATGGTGAAAGGTGATTCGTGTAACTGATCCCATATAGTTTGGACAAGATTCTTAGGTGATGATGATAACCACCTAATTAGTTATCATTTTTATAATATCAGTTACTGATGATGCGCATTTTGGCAGCTCCTGGCTAGCAAGTGACTCGGATGCCTGGCTGAGTATTCCCTACTTGGAATGTGGCTTGGATGCCTAGTTGAATGGTTCCTACCTGGAAGGTGGCTTAGATGCCTAGCTGAATGGTGGCGAGCTAGAGAGGTGGCTCTGATGCCTAGCTGAATGGTGACGAGTTGGAGAAGTGGCTCTGATGCCTAACTGAATGGTGACGAGCTGGAGAGGTGGCTCTGATGTCTAGTTGAATGGTCATGACGAGCTGGAGAGGTGGCATTGATGCCTAACTGAGTGGTGACGAGCTGGAGAGGTGGCTCTGATGCCTAGCTGAATGGTGACGAGCTGGAGAGCTATGAGAACTAAATTGCGCATCTACTTGGGTCTTAAGGGTTGGTGCCCTTATATAACTGGGCTGCCGTGGGTCTCGTGAAACGCTCCCGAAATCCTCGGTCCACGACGTAGGGGTCCGTTCCGCTTTGGAAGGAGGATAACATGCCAGTTAATAAGGCTTATCGTTCCTCTCCGATTTGGGCGGGATGAGGATAAGGCCTACTGTTCTGTGACGTGATCCCGAAAGGTTCAAAGACAAATTGCAAGCTTCTAGAGAGGTAGGTTGCCAGGTCGGCGATAGAAGCAGGTCGCCAGGTCGCCAAGTCGGCGGCAGAGGTAGGTCGCCAAGTCGGCGGTAGAGGCAGGTTGCCAGGTCGGTAGTAGAAGTAGGTCACCAGGTCGGCGGCAGAGGCTGGTCTCCAGGTCGGCAACAGAAGTAGGTCGCTAGATCGGCGGCAAAGGCAGGTCGCCAGCTGGGACCCCATTTTGGCTAAGACAAGTTGTTGCCTAGGTGATGCTGGGATGTAGTCCAACTATTCTGATATGCCATGTGTCATGATGTGAGTGGAGGGCCAAATATGCCCTCATCAGTTACATTATGATTTGGTTACTTATTTTTGTTATATGAGCTCTGAGAAGAACATTTAAATTTTATCATCATTATCATTATCAATAAAAATTGTCACATGCAACGCATGTGCACATTTACTAGTAGAATGAAACAATGAAATAGGATTCATGTAACCAACCGTATGTAGTTCAGGTAAGGCTCAAATGATGATGATTCTTTTTTTTTCTTTTAATTTATGAGAATTTAGAAGGCTTGATGGTAGGACTGATCATTTTCAGCCTAGTCCAGGACTGGCCCAATATCTTACTTTGTTATATAAATATTATAATATATTGGTGGTTAAATAATTTTTTACTACTTCTATCCAAATCTTTTTATTGGTCTATCCATAGCCCTTTTAGACCTTTCACCTTGCAATAGATCACTTCTTTTTATAGATGATGTTGATGCTCTTCTATTCATGTGACTAAGCCATGTAAGTCTACTTTTTCTCATTTTATTTGCTATTGGCTTTAAAGAGAATGAAATAGTGAAACAAGATTCTTGTAGTTGATCCCGTATGGTTGGGATAAGGCTTGGATGGTGATGATTATGCTAATATAAATATTATAATAATATGAATCCTATAATACATATTACATATAATATTCTTTGGAAGGTTAAAAAGATCTAAAGAAAGGGAATCCAAATTATTATTCTTCAAAGCGTCATGATTCAATAGATCAATAGCTTGATTTGCCTC